GTGAGCAGCTGATTTTTGCCTCTTGCTTTGTTTCAGCACAGTATTAATGTTGAAGTCCTAAACATTATCTGAAAGACATTCAATGTAACTTATTGTATGTAATCTACAGAAATATATGAGCGATCCTCATACGTAAGTAGGCATAAGAGTAGGAACAAGGTTCTTCTAGTTGTTGACTTTTACAAACATTTTCTGAATTTTCTCAGTGATTTAAAAAAACAATGTCAGGTGTCTCCTTGGAATAACTTTGGTGTAATTTGTAACAGTAACCACAAAATAAAATGTATTACTGCCCCATTTTTACAGAATGAAAGACATTAATCAAACATTTAACCTGCTACATTTTGTAAATCATGGGAGTGTTTAAAAAATCAAATTATTATACACCTGTGACAATAATTAGAATTTTTAATTATTATTTCTTCCTTTTTTTTTTTTACTATGTTTGCTTTTTGCTTCATTTTCAGACTTCATATTGACAAGTGTGTCGTATGAACAACTTAATAGGAACACTAAAGTGTTCTGGACTGTTGTACAGGTATAATTTGCTGCTTATTAGTTATTAACATTTTATGAATAATCAGAAATTCTGGGGAGACAGCTCAAGATGCAGCTATGGAATTTCTTGGGACGAACTTGAATCCAGTCAAAAAACCCCAACCAAACCAGCCTTGCATCCCAGTGATGGCAGGTAAGGATGATATTGGGAACTGTTTTTCCTCCTTCTTGGACATCCTGGAACTCAGCTGTGGACCCAGAAGACTGGAAGGAGCCCTTCTGTGCAGTGACTGGCCACAGGGAAAGTCCTGTCTGGAATTGGGATTGCTGGGATTGCCAGGACTGTTGGGCTCACGGCAAAGCAGGTGGGGAGGGGAAGGTCCCAGGTGACTCCTCAGATCCACAGTTCTGCTGTGTAGGAAGTGTGGGGATCCTGGCAGAGCTGGAATCAGAAATCTCTGCCTGTGTATTGCTGAAATTCTGCACTTGAAAACTGGAGAACCTGAAAGCTAATTAAAACCCAAATTCTTTTCTATCTCCATTGTGATTTTCTTTGAAAGTGATTTAGTTTGACAAATGCAAAGATGGCAAAGCTCCCTTGTGGGGAAACTTCATAATTTAAAATTCTCACAGAGAATCCAAGGAATAATCACCAGTTCATGATGTGTATAAAGTCATTGTGTAATAACAGACTCTCAGCTTAGTATTTTTGAGTCCTGCATGCTGTAAGAAGCCATTTAAGTGACCCAGCAAACATCTCTTGCTGAACTGTTAAATACTTTCTTTTCCTCTGCCAGCAACTTCTAAAGAGGAATCATGCAAGTAATGCAACCTAATTTGGTGTTCTAGAAAAGAAGGATGGGAATTCATCTAGAAGGAGCTGGATTAATCCTATTAGAGCTCATTTTACATTGCTGGCCTTCAGCTGAAATCAAACTCTGGTCCCAGAAAAGCAAGTGCTCTAACACTATTTAGGAAAGGTGTGGTGGCAGAAGTATCCCTTTTTATAAGCTCTAAGACTTATCTGTGTTGTGATAAAGGTCTGTGTTACAGATTTTTAGTTTTATTTTTCCCTTCAGTCATCACATCCACCAACAAGGAGCCTGTGGAACACCAGCAGTCCTTGAGCAAATATCTTGCTTATACTTCTAGACTATTTGTTAATAAAAATTATGCCCGTTCCTTTGCCAAAGCAGGAAGACACCATTTAATTTAGTTGCACTTAGGTGAAACTGCTGCTAATTTCTAAGAAAATAGTTAAGCTTTTTGCCTTTTATTTTTTGAATGTGTGTTTTCAGTCCTCAGGAGGTTGCATAGAAACTTGTCAGCAGTTGGTCTTTGGTACTAAAAAGAACAAAAAAGCTCTAGAGATGAGGTTTTGGAAAGTCAAAATGGTTGGAATGGTATGGGGAGACTATTAGTTCTGCTTACTGAAGTCTGACCCTTGGAAGTGCTGAATTGTCCTGCCAGAGGGAATCTTTGTCAGAAGGATCCTGACACAACATGTATTATTCCCATTTTTCATATCTATTCCCAAGGAACTGGTGGTAACAGCAGATTTTTAGCTGCCTTTTAGAAAAAAAAAAAACAGAATATAGAGATGGGATCACCTAAACTGTACTTTCTGTTTGATCTGTACCCAGCAACTGTAACATGCAGGCTGCAATTTCTCAGAAACCCTGTTTGGGTCATGAAAAGCTATTCAAGATTAAGAGGAAAGTGACTTAATGGGAATGAGGTTTTCTATTTGTATATGCAGTGCACTATTCCTTGGAAGGATGACAGGATTTAATGCCTTGAAAATGTCGTGTAAAATTGCAGGCATGGCTCGTATTGAATACAAAATTTTTGCCACTAGGAGGAGTGAGGGGCAAATGCCGTTGTTCAGCTTCATTAACCTGCTCGTGGTGACCACTATAAACTGCAGGTGCCCTTTGCAGAGTCTGAACTGAGGTTGTTGCAAGGAAAAAAATTGCTGAGAGTCTTGATTTGCCAAGGATATAAGTTACTGACCTTCACCTATCGTCCCCAGCTCTGTGATCCCTGTCTGTTTGCTCACATGGTAACTGGTGGCAAACAAGGGCAGCAGAATGCAGGCAGTTGAGACACAGATGTACAGACCTTGTCCTGCCCCTACTGCAATGCCAGAAATTTCGCTGTTGGTAGATGGCACTGCCCAGAGGGGTGGGAATTGTATCTGGGGTCTTTCCTTCTGCAGTAGTTCTCTCTGGAGAGCACAATCTAAGTTCAGCTTAAAGATAAAAGAGTTATTTTATAACTTTTCCCATTGTATCAGAGATGAGTGAAGCCACAGAAGGTGATTATGGATGAAGGGATATAGTGTAAAGGAGGAAATTATCATGGAATGGTTTGGGTTGGAAAGGACCTTAAAGAACACCTGGTTCCATCTCAGTTAGGACTGAGATCACACACTCTAACCCAGTTCTGTGATTTCTGTGAGCTTAAAAGTTGATCAGTTTCTTTCATCTGTGTCTCATTTTCCCCTCATTGGAGGAGAGTTTAATTTACACTTGCATGATATTTTGAGCATTAGTCCTTGCAGGCCTCATTTACTCTTATTTCTTGCCTGTGCTATATCCAAAAATATATAGCTATTTGCTGGTATTCACACCAGCTCAGCAGTGTAAAGAGATGCCTGCCCTCTTCTTGTATCTTTGCCTCATGGAGGTACCAGGGCACACCATCAATACTGCATAAAAATACATTTATTACTTCATACTAGATAGTGGATGTGGTCCCGTGGGACTGTGGGACCACAGAATTAGAAGAATATATTCTTATGCACAAGGACAAACAACTTGCTCCTGGGCTGAGCCCTGGGGAGAGCATGTATGGTCAAGGCAGTCTGAGGTTACCAAATTTGAGTGAGCTCAGACACAGCCAGTTGTCTTATGTGCTTGTTACTCTTGAAAATGCATTTTTGAATATTTAGAAGCAAAGCATTTCAGTTCTTGGAAACATTTTCATGTCCCTTGCTTCAGTACCAAGTACTTCCATGGGTGACTACAGGCTCAGCACGGGTGGCAGGCTCACAGCATCTGAAGTGGGCATATAAATTGCATTATATTATTGCATAATTCCCATTTGGAATGGGCTAACTTCTTTCTCTGCACATGGTACAGGCTGCCCTGATGATTTTAAGCTATAGAGAAACCCATAAGAAATCTGTAAAGCTCTTTTGAAGGTTGTTTCTCAGAGGTTAGGCCAGATTCTGGGTAAAGACAGGTGGTTCATAGTTCCTTATTTCCAATTCCCACTTCAGAATAAACTGGAAAGGGAGAAAAACAGGGTTATTGTTTATAATAAAGAGAAAAGCTGTTGAAATGAGTCAGATTAAGATGTGAAGTCAGTCTTGCAAGCTCTGTCTTGTTCTGTAAGGTTCCATACCGAGTGCCATGTCCAAAGTCCATATCTTAGGAGGACCTGTCAACTATCATTATAGAGAATCATGGAATCACAGAAGCGCCTGGGTTGGAAGGGACCTTAAAGATCATCCAGTTCCAACCCTCTGCCATGGGCAGAAGGGACACCTTCCACTAGACCAGATTGCTCCAAGCCCCATCCACCTGACCTTCAACACTTCCAGGGATGAGGTATCACAACTCCTCTGGGGCAACCTGTTCCAGTGCCTCCAGTAGAGAATTTCTTCCTAATATCCAATCTAAACCTACTTATATCCAATCTAAACCTACTCTCTATCAGTTTGAAGTCATTCCCTCTTGTCCTGTCTCTACACGCCTGTGTAAAAAATCTTGTAAAAAGTCTTATAAAGAGTCCCTCTCCATCAAGGAAGCCAGCTGGAACAGGAACACAATTTAGACCAGGCCAAAGGATATGGCTGGAAGATAGCTGATGTAATTTTGCAGCCCATATATGCAGCCTATATGTTTAGTGGAATATGGCAGAACGGACAGGCCACCAAAAAGACTGCAGAGGGGGTGGAACACTGTATAAAGAGTGGAGTGGCAAGTGCAGCTTGGGGAAGATGAGACAGCTTGAGCAAGCAAAACTTCCTTTGGGCACTTCATTTCCATGTCATGTATGTTTTTAACTGGAAAATGTACTATGGACATAAGTATGTGATGCACGGTTCCTGTCTCATTCGCCAGTTCCTCTGCTTTCAGAACTGACATGGAACAGCACTTTCAACCAGTCCTATGCAGGGCTGAGAAAAGGTGGAGAGATTTTCTCTAGTGGGAATAATTATCGATACCTATCGGAAAAAAAAAGTCACAGAGCAAAACAAGGTTACTGTGTCACGTTTGTAACATGGTCCTATAAATTTGAAGTATCTAGTATCAAATAATCTATGTAACATAGAAGAACTCAGTGTTGAATCGTGAAAGAAATCTGCATGGACCGGCACTTAATGGTGATATCTTCACTTCTCACAAGAGCCATGGTCTGTACTGGCATGTTCCAGGTGGCTGTTGCACTTCCAAACTTCTAAATATTCACTCAGTGTGAATGCAAGGAAAAAATATGATAGAAAAGGCACTAACCTTGTGCAGTCTGGGGCGTGCAGGATGTGATGTTAGTTTTGATTGTCTTCCTAGTTTTTATTTGGCATTCACTTCCTGCTCTGTGTTTTGCTCATGTAAATTCAAAGTCTACCAAAGTTCACTGTCTTACTCCAAAATTACACAGGTGTAACTGAGGGCAAAATTTGTGTCCCCCTTGCGTGTCCTTCCAAGGGTGCTGCATTTGAAGAGATACACACAGAGCGACAATGGCTGAATGACAACTGAAAGGGAATATGAAAACCATCTGTAAATATTCAAAGGGTGCAAAGAGTAAGGAGGAGGTGGGTTTGTACCTCATGTTGCAAGAAGGGTTTCGACTTAACTAACAGGGATAAAACTAGCAAAAAAAACTATGTAAGATTTAGAGAAGCAGCCTTTCTAAAAACTTAGAAATCAGTCTCATAATGTACGAACATTTCTCTGAGAATAGAGAGAGATCCACTGTGTGGATCAAGGTGACAGGATACAGCTATGCCTTTGTGTTATAAAGTGCTCTCAATCTGCCTGAGAGGTGGAAAGACAGGGCTCCATGTCTGCCTTCCTGGTTGCTCAGCAGAACTGGATTAATTTTTCCCACCTTCTATTCCATCTTTGGAAAGCACGTGCATGACTGTCTGTGTCCAGGCAGACATGGTTCATCTCCAGTTGGCTTAATATGTTGATTTATTTTAAATCTGCACAAAGGAGTATCCCATGGAGAATATCTCTCCATTCCTTCAAGAGAGATTTTCCATGGAAGACAAAACCTTGGGGGAAGGAATCCTTACTCTGAATTAATTCAGGTTTGGATAAAGGGGCATAGAGATGTGCTACATGGCACCACCAGCTCTTTCCAACTCTTAACAGTGCCAAATGTCATCAGAGCATCTTTGAGTTTCAATAGGAGTTCAAGGCCCTCACCCCCCAGGCAGGAACAGACCCGGTACACATAAAGTTAGGAATGTCTTGGACTGGGAAGTTACCAAAGGTGAAACTAGCTTGGTTGTCTCCCAGAAATCTTATTTTGAGTTCCTTAAACTGAGCCATAACAGCTCCTGCCTGGCATAAATTATAATCCTCCAAAATGTTCTGTACTCACTCATGCAAGTCATTTATAGTGACTGTTTCAACTTTGCTCCAAAGGACAGTTTTAAATCCCAGCAGAAATAGCAGCACTCCACAAACAGGGGCCTGCTTCCTTCCGCCCCTCCTCATCCATGTTATCAGTCTTCTCCGTGCCTATTTCCACAGCGGAAATCCTAACAGCACAAGCCAGCCAAGCCTCCTTTTTTGAGGACTGAATCTCTCCTTGCTCACCAATAAAAGATGGAATTTGCAGTGGGTCATTGACAGGAGCTTGGCCTCAAGCTTGACCAGTTACACAAGAGGATGTGAGTCCTTCTGTTGAGTAGTTGTTTGGAAACCGCTGCCTGACCACCAATTGTTATCTTGGATGTGTTTTTAGCCATTTTAGGCAATTCTCCCTGCCGATGGAAGTGGTTCTTTCTTCCAGGCAGTCCATAAATTACAGGCAAGTCTTGCAAGCTGATGTTGCTACATGTAAAATGGTCCACACCGCTCTTGCGTTGATAGTGCTCCTCAGCTCTCTGGAATCTTCCTGTTGAGAAATACGAACTGCAGATAAAAATACACTGCTGGCATCTTTCTGAGTGACCATAACACAGAAGGCAGAGCTTGAAATGAAATTATTGTATCCTTAATGAAAATTAGCTGCCTCACCCCTGAAGTGCCCAACACCCAGCAAAGTCCCTGTGTTTCAAATTATCTAGTCCTTTTAGAAAGCTTATCATTGCATCAAACAATCTATTCTACTAAATTGATTTAAAAATGGAAGCATTCAAGAGTTTGAATGATACACAGTTGACAGTCATGCAGAAGACAGGCAGCAGACCTGAGGAGTTTTTGTTGTTAGCACTGAAGAGAGACCTTGTCACTCTCTACAACTCCCTGAGAAGAGGTTGTAGCCTCGTGGGGTTTGGTCTCTTTTCCCAAGGAATAAGTGACAGGAACAGAGGAAAGGGTCACAAGTTTTGCTAGGGGAAGGTTTAGATTGGATGTTAGGGAGCATTTCTTCAGAGAAAGGGTTATCCAGCACTGGCACAGGCTGCCCAGGGAAGTGGTGGAGTCACCATCCCTGGAGGGATTTAGAAGACATGTGGATGTAGTGCTCAGGGGCATGGATTAGTGGTGGACTTGGCAGTGTTAGTGTTTGGAGTTGTCATAGTTTGAAACTATGAAAATGGACTATGACAGGAGTCCATTGTCTTTAAAGATCTTTTTCAACCTAAGTGATTTTGTGATTCTATGAAGCTGCAAACTGCGGGCCAGGTAATGATAGGATAAATTAGAAAGAGATAAAAAGTAGTTTTAGATCAGGAAATTATGCTGATTGGAAACATTATACAGCTATAGAAAAGTTAGATCACTTAAAATCACTTGGGAATTAAGTAATATGTCCAGATTCTGATAAGGCCTCAGAAGAAAATACCTGCACCCACAGGTCATTTGAAGCTAATTTCTTATAATTGAAGTCCCATACCAGGAAAAAGATCGTTACAAGGGTCAAAAAGGTCATTACAAAGGCCTTCCAGCCAGAGCACTGCACTCAAGCAGCTGTGAGCTCTCCCCATGAAAACAGCAGGTTTTGAACTGGAATGGCTCTGTAAAGAGGACCATCAAAGTTGTTTGTACTGAAACTACAGAATTTGAAAAGCTAAAGCCCTAAAACCTTCCTGTGATGGTCTTTGCTGAGTGCTCTTATAGTGGCTGACTTTAAAGTCAGTCTTCTCCACTCAGTTGCCCACCTAAGCCAAATTCAGGGCTTTTTATGGCAACACAATGTTAAATACCAGCCCTACTGAACTTTGTGGGAGTTTTGGCAGCATTTGGCCCAAGATTTCACTTCCCAGCCTATCTCTAACAGTAAGAACATATACAGCTCCACAAAATTCAAAACCATGCTTTCCAAATCCCCCTTGTTGGCAGTGCATCAGTGTGGGCAGTACATATCTCGTGAAAAATAAAACAAATTAATAGACCCATTCATTCACATCAGTAACACTATTCAGGTGCTTACATTTTCACAGAAGAGAAAGAAAGAAAGAAAGAAAGAAAAAAAGAAAGAGGAAGGAAGGAAGGAAGGAAGAGAGAAAGAAAGAAAAAGAAATAAAGAAAAGAGGAAAATTGACTGCCAGAGGTATTTGCAACAGGTACCATCCAGTGTATTCAAAAGATCCCCCTAGTCAGAGAATTATTCTTAGCCCTATAGTAATCATCATATGTTAAGTTAGATGGCTGTCTCTCTACTGCTGGAAATACAACATGAAGGTCAGCCATGGCTTGATCTTTTCTAGGGTTGGCAGGAGTCCTAATACAAGTGGGAGGTTAGACTAGATGACTTCCAAAGGTCCCTTCCAACCAACATGATCTCACACCTATATTGTAATTAAAAGGATCATGTTAATTAAAAATAAAAAAAGAATCTTTGAGATGTGCAGAACACATGAAGGGTATTCATTTATAAAGTTTGGAAGAAGAGGCTTTCAGTCACGCTGATTCTTTATCTATGTACACCATATTTATATCTGACTACCACAGTTATATCTTACTTTGGTTTACAGTGAGGAATCTTTTGCAGAAAGACGACAACAACATTTTCTAGTTCTTCTTCTGCCCATAATTACTTTACAACAAGTAGATATTTATTGATTAGGACAGTCTGCCCCCTTGTCTGGGTGTGAGACCCACCAGGTGAGTCAGCACATCCTGGTTGTTGCAATGAGGGGGCCCTCAGGTCCCCAGCACAGAATCTTTTGGAGAGTCCAGAGGAGGGACACCAAGATGATCAGAGGGATAGAACAACTCTCCTGAGAGGAAAGGCTGAGAAAATCAAGGTTGTTCAACCTGGAGAAGAAAAGGCTCCAGGGGAACTTTCAGTTCTCAAAGGGCATCTATAAGAAAGAGAGGAACAAACTTCTTTGCAGGGCCTGTTGTGACAGGACAAAGGATACTGGATTTAAATTAAAGAAGGGTCAACTGACATTAGACACAAGGAGGACATTTTTTACAATGAGGGTGGTGAAACAGGTTGCCCAGAGAGGTGGTGGATGCCCCATCCCTGGAAACATTCAAGGTCAGGCTGACCAGGGCTCTGAGCAACCCGATCTGTTGAAGATGTCCCTGCTCATTGCAGGGGGGTTGGGCTGAATGGCCTTTAAAGGTCACTTCCAACCCAAATGATTCTATGATTCTAGGAAAAAGGCATCAAGAATTTGGCAGTGCAGGCTTTATGCAAGAAATGTTGGATCCATGTCTTTTTTTGTGTTTTCTACTTGATTTTTTTATGGGGAAAGATGCTTTCAGTTGTGACTTTTGGGAAGCTCAGGCCATGCACATAAAGGAAAGAGCTCTCCTGTCCATCCAAACACCAAGCAATGTCTTCATTTTTGAGTATCCGAACACCAAGCAATGTCTTCATTTTGAGTACCCAAACTAAAGCAGGTTGGCTTTCAGATGGGACACATTCAGCACTTTCTGAGAGCCAAGCCCAAGTGTCTGAGTTTAATGCATCTCATAAACAGGAGTATTTGGAATTGCAAGCTGTCTGGGAAAGCCTTGGTCTTCATGCAGTGCAATGACACCAAATTGGTGCAAAATCTGGCTGTGTCCCTTTGATTTGCTCTCACTGATGGCAGCACTTGACATCACAAATAGCTCTTTAAAGAAGCATCCTGCCCAGTAATAACTGCCTGCTGAGTCACCTGCTTGCTGCATGGTCCATCTTAATTTTTGCAGTGGAGTTGTACAGTTTTACAGTGGAGACCAGACCCACCAGACACTTACAAAAACTAAGCTGAACAAGAACAAAAGATGGAAAACATAAAGCAATCAGAGAGAGGTAAGGATGGGTCAAGCTGGAGGTGGTGCTTCCTGTGTTTGTCACACAGATAGTAATAAAGTACAACAATCCAGGGCCTATTAGCATGCACTCCTGTGGCCAATTCTGGTTTCTCAAGGTGGATTTTATTGTGCCACGAGCACAATTAATTTTCACAACATTATTTTCGTGGGAGGTTATTACACATTAAATTACAGCATTGCCATGCCTCCAGGCTTTTTGTAACAGTAGGAGAAATGATGGGCTGGAGAAGACAGCTGCGTTTGCACGTGGTATATGTCAGTTTACTTAAGCAGAACCATTTTACTGCTGCTGGAGGAATGCAGCAAAAGGTCAGTGCTGAAACTCCGCTAAAGTAAGCTGAGCACACATTCCATAGTGAGCCAACATATGCTCACTACTTGCTTGATCAAAAAGGAAATTTCAGAGCTCTGCTACATGCTTGCCTTGACCCTGCTCCGTACCGCCTGTCCAGTGTGCATCAGGCAAACTGTTCTTTAATCCTGTATGGAATACACATTCTGGTTAGGGGATGCTTGGAATACTTGCATATCATCATTAGCAGCATAATCTTAAACTGGGCCTGTGTGTATGGAGTAGTGCAGGGTAGTGTGGAGAGGGATGTCAAGAGAAGTGTTACATGAATGCATAAAATGTATGGTTTTATTTCTTAGTCCTTTGTGCCCATCGCAACCTGACCCTGTCCAAATGAGACTCATCTTTGCAGGGGGAAAATAAACTCAACATTATTATTCAGCTCTTGCATTTTCTTCGCCTGTCTTCTTCAAATGTTTAATCTTCTGGAGTTTGTCAGATCTGGGCAGTGTCAGAGGAAGAATTCTGTACTAACAACATGCACAAGAAGCTGTACCAACTTAACTGGGCTGTTAAAAAGTTGCAGAAGTGAAGCTCTTGTAGCTACAAGAGCTTTAGGCTGATTTAGAACATGCCCTCATAACATCACTTGATAAAAATAAGACTTGAGCTTTTTAATAGAACGAATTACTTGGGTTTTATATTTAACCGCGGTCACTGTTAAAGCTATAACTGGTTTTCAGAATATTTTAGGAATCTGATCTTGATCTTCCATATGTTAAAAACCATCACAACAAATACCTTACACTGTGGTTCCCGACAAAGAAGTAACAAGGTGGCTGCAGCCCTTTCTGAAAATGGGACTTGCAGGCTTTAAAAATATTATGCAATGATTGGTGTAATCAATTAAAACTAGTTGATTAAAAACCTCTGGGCTGTGCTTTGGGAGGGAAGCTACAGTTGGTTTCAGTGTATTGTATGGTCATGGATTAGGAGCACACCAGACATTTACTTAAGAGTTGGACTCGATGATCCTTGTGGGTCCCTTCCAACTCAGAATATTCTATGATCTAGAATCATACACAGATAAAAAAGTGGGTGTTAAAAAGGGCACGTCTCCAGGATGAAGGACCAACCACCGCCTCCCTAAGATCCTGCTTTATGGTGAACTCACCACCGGCTACCACAAGAGAGGAGCCCCGAAGAGAAGATACAAGGACTCCCTGAAACAACATCTCAGCCTTGGCCATATTGATCAACATAACTGGTCTACTCTGACCTTCGATCAGGAGATCTGGAGACACACCATCTATAACGTGGCTGATGCCTTTGAGAACACCTGCAGGATCACTCTCAAGGAGAAAAGACAATGCAGAAAGAACCGTGTCTTGCAGAATTTACCACCTAAGGAGTCTTTCTGCTGTGCCTTTGGCAACCGGACATGCCTGTCTTGTATTGGCCTTTTTAGCCACCAGCGTGCTTGTAACAAACATGGGTAGAGCCCTTCCCAAATCTTCGTTCACAAAGCCCAGCCATGATGATGAAAAAGATGAAGTTAAAGAATAAGGTCTTTTTGGGCAGAAACCCAACCTGCTTTTTTTAGTATCCCTTTTTAGTCTGGGTACTATGTATGATGGTAGAAAATCACAACGAATAATAATCTGGGGAGTGGAAACAATATGCTGCATGAATGGAGTAGGCATTTGAGGAAGAATCCATCACTAGCACCAGATTAGTTTAATTTCCCTTACTCCACAAGTTTGTAGTTGGCAACAATAAATTGTAGGAAAGGCTGATATAATGAGGGTAGGGCTGGCATCCAGCAGGACCCTGGAAAGGTGGAGGGATGGGTTGACAGGACTCTCATGCAGTCTGCCATTAACAAATGTAAAGCCTTGGCCCTGGGAATACATTATTCCTGGCAATAGTCCAGGTCTCATAGAATGAACAGAGTTCAGTTCCACTTTTCTAGTGTCATATTTTACCTTTTTCCATGTTTCTGTTCATAATTTCTTTCCTAATCCTGTTATACCATTGAAATAGAGGCTGTCTCATCTCCTTCATCTCATACCAAGAGGTTCACTACTGCTTATTTTGCACCCTCTTCTCCTTAATGCTCCTTCTACCTTCTACATGTGCCTTTCTTTACGTAAGTCAGGTCAGTTCATTGATCTGCAGCAGCACTTTGAGAGTGTGAGCAGTCCCAGTTTCCACAGGTGCCAACAACCACAGACTCCAAGAGTGCAGAGTGCTAAAAGCTGGGTACTGATTGATCCCAACCATCTGCCACATGTTTACATTTCCTGGACAGACTTTTTTACCTCAATCTTTCTTTGCAGAACTAAGTCTTAGCAGTTGCATTGACTTAAACAGCTCACCTGTCTTGCAACAATGGTCCCTTGCAAGGTCTATACAAATTTGGAACTCCTCAATAAGCTACGGCATAGCTTTGAGCCCTCTTTGCTGTATTACTTTTGCTGCTGTTGAGGAGCCAAAAATTACCCCTTTCTCTTTCCCCTGTTCAGAAAAGGAGCTGTAGGAACAAAACCTGAATTACTAACGTTATGAAAACTCATCCTGGTTGCTTTAGCCTGCAAACCTGACTAGAATGCAGAATCACTTCTGAAATGGCTACTTTTCATCATTTAGCCAGTGGACCTCCTCTTTGGATGAATTTCTGGTGGCTAACTGAGCTTTAGCCACACATCTAGGTGGCTTTCTGAGAATGCAGCCTGCAGGTTTACCAGACCTCTGGTGATAGTTTTATATGCAAAGAGGGAATTAAAAATCTACTGTTACTCTTGTGGATTCAGCTTAATCTCAGGTCCTTTTTCATAAGTCCCAGGAATCAATGCATTTATACTAAATAACGATGAAATAAAACTCCCCTACCCTCCCATCCTTGTTTGCCTATTTACAGAGATTCACATAAATAGCAACATGAAAGGAAAACTCCAGCTCCATCTTTAAGCTAAAATGACATTTTTGAGCCATTGAAAATTCAAGATGACACCAGTTCAATTTATGGTCCCAGGAACTGAAGGCAAATAATTTGATCTTTTGGACAATTTTAAGGACAAAGTCCTATAACGAAAAAATATTTACCCTTTAGAGTAGTGCAGCACTGGAACGGACAGTCAGAGGGAGCATGGAATCCCCAGGAATCCCCAGTCTTTAAGGACACTTTTTTCAGAGCCTTGAGTGCACCAGGAGGCTGTAATTGATCTGTACATCCTCCCCCCATCTCTGCCCTCCAAACTTCATCCTCTACCCATTGCTCCTTTAAGCTCAGAGCTGCACCTTCAGACCTGACCTAAGCTGCAGAATAGGCATTCCTTGTGTCCCTGAACTCCTTCTAGCTAGGTAGCCAAGGTCTTAATCACATGGAAGGCTCATGCCGCTGATGACAGGAGCCAAGTGTTTCAAAACCCTTCATGGGTCACTTAGCTCGATCTGGAGTTTTGATGCCTTTTAGAAATGTTCTCCCAAGTTCAGATCTGGATGCAGGCAGGGTCAGGATTGTGCATTATGCTGCCACCCTCCACCCACCCTTGTGTAGCTGGGAATGTGCAAATACTCCAGCATTTGCAAGGGCATGTAATGACAGGCCAAGAGGGAATGGCTTTAAACTGACAGAGAGGAGGTTTGGACTGGATACTAGGAATTCTTCCCTGGGAGGGTGGGGAGGCCCTGGCACAGGTTGCCTAGAGAAGCTGTGGTTGTCCCATCCCTGGAAGTGTTGAAGGACAGTTTAGATGGGGCTCTGAGCAATCTGGGATAGTAGAAGGTGTCCCTGCCCATGGCAGGGGGGTTAAAATGAGATGATCTTTAAGGCAGCTTCTAACCAAGGCCATTCTATGATTCCATGAAACTAAAGGAAAGTGGTCTCTGAACACACATCTCACCCCAAAAAAACATCCAGGATACAGCAACCAGAATACTGAGACACCCACCTGATGCAAGAGTGCAGGAAGAGTATGCTGATTATGGACTTGAGCTTCCTTTTCAGACTTTGAGAAACATGTCTGTGCCATTGGAACAGAGGTGCAAGAGGTTTCCAAGCAGACATCCCTGCAGATGCTGCTGGATCCAAAACCAGCTAACACACCTTTACCTGCAGTCTATTTGCTGCTCCATTCCCAGGGAGGCTGCTGAATGCCAGGGAAGAGATTTGTCTCCAGAGTAGAAGGCATCCATGTGTCTCAGCTCCTGTGAAACACAGACCTTGTCAATGAAGGTGATGGAGTCCCAAGACTGTTTCAGCTCCCTCTGAAAAAGACAGCTACTGGGGGATGAGCTGTGTCAGTTCCTGGGCTCCTTGACTGTATTAATTAAATCCCCACTGGCTGCTCTGCAACCTTAAATCCTCAGTGGACATGGACCTACACACTGGTGTCTGAATACAAAGCAGATTCCCACCTCAAGCGGCCTAAGAATCCTTTTCCTTGAACCAAGCTCTCCTCTCTCCTTGTGGGAGAGCCTGCATATTTCCCCTTTCCCCTTCCTGTCACTCTCCCAGTAACTCATAACTTCCTCTGTGGAAGAGCAAAACAACAACAAGGGTAACACACCTGTCTGACCTATGGGATTTTGAAGGTACTGTGAGAGCAGCCAAAACATGAGGTAGTGTTGTTTTTCCTCACCTCCTGGGGACAAGTGGGCAATCCTGCCATGTGCTGGAAACATCTGTTATGCTTTGGTTCAAGTCTTGTATTCCATTTAAAAACTAAATACTACTTCCCTAAATATCAGGGATCTGAGGAGTTTCACTTCCACCCCTCAAGTAGCTGTGACCAGGACTCCAGGATGCAGTATCCACCCAGCATATTCCCACCTTCTCCTCCCCCACCAACACAGCAGGGAGAATGGGAAAAGGGCAGGAGAAGAGGACAGGAGGAGATTTCAAAAATAGGATTCTTTCTATGGAAATTAAACTACAAGTCAAAACTGCTGTCAAAAAATGAATTACAAGCTTCAGAACTTCAAGTGTTGCCCACCATGCAGGGGAAAAAAAGCTTGAAAAAAACAGGGAAAAGCTCAGATGACTGCACAAAAGGTTTCAGAATTCCCCTTCAAGAGATGAGGAAGGATCCAGACCAACAGATGAAGAATTGACATGCAAGAGAAAGAAAGTCCTCAACAACACAAGGAAGTTACCTGGAAAATGGCAGAAATTGCCTTTAATCATCTATACTGGATTGCATCATTTAATCTGAATAGTTTCCATAGTCAGGAATCACCCAGAGAGCTGGTCAGTTGGGCCATTGGACAAAATCTCATCACCAACAATAAAAACAAGGGTTTTTTGCTTTCCTATTCATTATGTTACTTAAAAGTGGCATTTAGCATCCCTGTTCCTGCTGTAATGAGAAAACCATACACGTGACAAACTAAACCCAAATTAAACATGCACCCTGTCATTCCTCTCTTCTGATAAATAATACCAAGCAGATCCCTGTGGGGGCTGGTGGCTGTCACTTCTGTTTTTTCCAGCTCAGCCTTTTACCCTTGGACTGCCTGTCCCTGCAGAGTGGGAACAGCTGAGGAGGTGATGAGAGAAGCAGCGTGGGCTGGTGGGCACAGCAGCAGTTGGGAAGCCACAGGTTCTCCGTGGAGTCACCACTCTGTCTTCTGACTGTCATTCCAACTCCTGTAAGACATGGAGAGACAGACATGGCCACTTCAGGAGGCAAAGATGGGTGTATTTGACTGTATCTGTGTTTGATGTTCCCTCTTCAGAAAATGAATTTATCATGAATAAGCAGTAAACCAAGATTTTTTTTTCAAGGAAACTAGAATCTCCCTAGTCCTAAATCTTCCACAGTTTCCTTTGGGAGTAGATAATTTTTGCCACTTCCCTCCAAAAAAAATAGCAGTAAGCTGTTCTGTGATTTGTGCCTGCCTGCAGTGTGTGAAATCTCAGCGAGAGCCCTTGTGGTGAGACCTCTCTCTTACCCATGTACTCACATGCATGTGCCCGAGTGGCCTAGCCAGGATCTCTGTGTGTGTGACATGAAGGATGAAGTAGGACCTCTGTTAACTCTCCACTATCTTGGGTTCCTCTTTACTGACAATAACAAACCATGTCTGAACAGGTCTTGTATATGTTTTAAGAGGCAGCAGCTGTAATGAGGTGACAGTTTTGGTTCAGAAGTTTGCTTGATTCAGCCTCCAAGAGCTTATTAGCCCTCAAGAGTCTTAGCCAAGATTGCTGCCTGTTGTCCTGTTTGTTCACTCTGGGTTTTGGTATGACAACAAATCTGCCCCTCTGTTGGATAATGGGGAGACAAATAACAAATTAATTGTGCTATAACCATTTTTGTCACCCTCCTGCTACCAGGGCTCACAACTGCTGCTGATTAATCACCTATGCTGTGGCCCTATCCAAATTAGTCTTGATGCCAACAACACACTCCTCAGTGTTTATCAGTTTTATGGCTATTGGGGGTCCTTGGGTGTCAATACAGCCCAGCCCTACAACTTTTGCTGTATCTGATACTCTCAGGCCCATGGTGTGACTCTTAGGGATGGTTCTGTGCAGGGCTAAGGGTTGGACTCGATGATCCTTGTGGGTCCCTTCCAACTTGGCATATTCTGTGATTCTTGATTACTTTTTCCTGCTGCTTTCATATTTCATTCATAATAGCCCCTGTATTTGTGTTATAAATCTCTACATGCTGGCCAACAAACGCCAAACCACTAAAGATGGTCTGATAGGGCTCCATGGTCATTCTTGGGCTTACAGAGTTTTATGCAGGTTGTCCAGAGTCTGCAACACTTGCCCTACGGATTTGCCACCTGGAAATCTCCTGTCTCCTCTGACCACCACCAGCCTGGGGCTTCACAGGCGAGGTGAACAATTTCAATCTGTCCTTCTGAATGAGGGATTGCTCTTTCCAGGCCTTAAAATAGGGAGAGACTTTGAAGAGATTTGAAAATGGAACTTAGGATCCCTAAGTCATCATGCATTTTTTTGAAAGACGTGCTCTGCATCCATATCATGTTACTGCTCAGCTGCAGGACTTTTCTTAGACTATCTGAAAGTGGATCCTTGCTGTGCTGCTGTGTTCCAAAGGGGATTATTTTAATATTGTACTAAAATACCGACAATGAAAACTCGTTACTTTAATTAGGCAGTGAGCACTGTCATCCTGGGTCTTAAGATTTCCAGTAAGCGGAGGTTGACTGCTGAAGTAAATTTTTACCATTTTTGAGGTTTTGGAGGGTTTCTTTTACTGCAAATGCTATAGGTCTCTCCCTTGATGCCTTCTGTGAAGGCACATGAATCCAGGACAACATGCTGTCTGAAAATTAAAAGGTTACAGAGTGTTTTCTGGAAACAGCTGCTTCATGGGCCAGGAGCACAAGTTCAAGAATGAGACATCTTTTAGAGGAAAAAAAGGCTTGCCTAGTTGAATGAGAAGCTCCAGGATTAACATTACAATTCATCTTCATATGCAAATACACAGAAACTTAGCAAACTGCTGACCACAGGTCTGACTTCAGAATGGTTCCAGAACTCATTTCAGCTCCAATGCAGAATTGCTGAGCAACACAAGACTGCAGTATTCACTTTATCTCCCAGCTGCACACCACTCTGTCTTGGGCCAGATACCAAGGCTCCTGCTCTTATAAGGGCCAGGTGTCCCAGTGAAATCACAACTTTTTAGCTGTTTAGTTTGGTTTTCAGGTCCAGCAGGAGAAGTCCTGATTTTTGCAAGTGTTCTGGCCAGCCTCTCCACACAGAATGCTGTCACATCTACTTGCTCGGAAGAAACCACCAGAGCAAGGCTGTCCCCTGGTCCACCATGGCCCTTAGCAGTCACTTTCCAGCTGGGCTGACTAAAAGGTAAAGCAGTGCATCCCACAGACTTGTCAGAATTTATCCCCTTTTTTTTTTTTTTGTCCTGCTATTTGGTATTTCTTCTAGGATCAAGGGTGTTGGGATGAGACACAGTGTATCCCACAAAGTGTTCCTTTGACTTGGGCCGTCAGAATACCTTGTAGGGAATCTGCAACACAAGTTAGAGAAACTCTTTTAGCCCATGGCTTGTCTTTGCAATGAGAAACCTAATGAATAAGATATAAAAATGCAAAGGTGATTAAAAGATGATTAAAGCTGATGATGGGAATCTATCCATTACACTTGAAACATTCTTTAAGGGGGGGAAAAAGTGGAAAGGAAATATTACAATGCATATTTTAACAGACAGTGATGGCTCTGAAATCAGGCAATGTTTCCAGGAGTCATGTGCATTGGGAATGGGCAGGCCTTCAGACTGTAGAGAAACTAGGAAATGAGTGCTCCATGCTTGTAACAGTGACCCTGGGCTTTGGTTCCCACTGACACTGCCCTCTCACAAGGGCTAAGAGGCCAGAAAATACTAGTGATATTCCTTCCTAAAAATTATATATGTGTTTTGCATAGATGAAAAATCTTGAGGTGAAGTAGGATGAGACAAAGATTTGAAGATTTTTCTTGTGAGCAAAAGGCAGAAGGTACGATTCCTTTGGTCACAGCCCCAAGCCTCGCAGAGTTCAAGGAGTGTTTGGACAATGCTCTCAGGCATGTGGTGGGATTGCTGGGGCTGTTCTGTGCAGGGCCAGGAGCTGGACTTCGATAATCCTTGTGTGTCCCTTCCAACTCAGCATATTCTGTGATTCTGTGATATTCAAGTGCTGCTTCAGCAAAAGCACAGAGGTTTTGAATGTCACCTGGCACAGGATCTAGTCCAGTGCCTCCCAATGATTTTACAGCTGAGCCTCTCTCAAGAGAGCCATCACGATTACATACTTCACTGGATCTGACTGTTCACCTGCCTCAGGGCTGCCATGGGCTCCCCTTCCCTCAGGGGTCTTGTGCTGAAGGGTTTGCAGTGGCTCAGGCCTCATATTACACTGCTCCTAATGTGAAACTCTCTCACGCTGGGTGTGCTCAGTTCAATTACACTTCCAGGTACTCTCCTCCTTAACATGCAGGCATCTCAAATGACACAGAAGATGCAGTTTCTTTGCTGTGAAAAGCTGACAGTCATATTGGCAAAAATATTTGTATAAATCTCAGCTGTTTTCCTCCAACTAATATTTTAATAACTCCCGTGAAACTAATTTAAAAGATTAATTTGTCCAACCCCAAAGAAGCTGAAACAGTATCAGTGCAAAATGAGGGGAAAAAAAGCAAGGCAGATGGAAGGAGAGGTAAATTAAGATAGTCATATGTTATTAAAAAAAATAAAGTGAGTATTTGCGCTCGGGGAAAGGAGACAGTGAAACAATAGGGAGCTGTGGCCATTTTCCCTTTTCCCTCTTCTTTAGCACATTACCTAAGTCCTTGTCTTGCACATACAAATAAAATTGCACCCCTGCAGGAGGCAATTACACCCTCCCCAAATAAATGTGATCATCTTGAAGTCACCTCAGTGAACAACATGAACACTGAATGTACCTGGCTATGTGTCACTGCAGGATCAATGCTCCAGCCTGCACGCCCTGCTCAGCAGAATTAACACTGCAATAAAGGCAGCAGGAGCGAGCCCAGGGGCTTCCTCTCCCTTTAGCATGGCTTACCTGTCTGTTAACCAGCCAGGAGTTCTCCTTTGAGAGGTACAGACCAAGCTTTAGCATGTGGATCGCTTAGGAAGAGGTGCCTTGGATTTGCTGGGTGTGTACAAAAAGAGCAATGGCCACTTGGAGCCAATTATCCCCAAATACTGAGACGCTTGGTGATAGTGCCACCGAGGAAGTGGCTGCAAACTTTTCATTGCTCACTGATGAGGTCCTCAACTGTTTTTACACCTTCTCCTCTAAATAAGGAAGCTGTGAGGCTTCTGACTAGCCGGCCAATTTGACTCCTTTGCTTTCCACAGCCAATGAAATCCCACTCCTGCCTCCAGTCTTGGGTGACAGCATTCATCAAAGCTCGGCCAGCCGGGGAGGACGGCAGGTTACTGTTACAGCTGTGGCAGGCTTACCTTTGGCAAGCTGTTGATGTCAGAGTGATGATGTGGGGAGGGACAGCCTCTGCACTATAAAGATGGCTCAATCAAATATAACCGAGGCTGCCCACTGGGGAGCAGGATCTACAAAACATGTTCCCCACCAGTCGGAGTCCTGCTGGCCTGTCTCTGCTCCCAACCCAACTGCTCTCAGGCTTTAGTTTCAGGTCAGCAATCTCTATTTGCTTTCCAAAAATAAGCCTCTGCCACCATGCTGAAGGGAGAAAAACAAGAAGGGCGGTATTTTTAGGGCCATTAATTCAGACCACGTGCCCAGGAGGTGAACCGGATGGCCACTGCACAAAGACTCCTCATCACTATGTCCTGCGAAGCCAGCGTTCACCGGACGTTCCCCGCCTTCGTTCTCCTGGGCTTTCTAGCTGGGATTGCTTCTACACATCCCGTTGTAAGCAGAACTAATGGCACATTGCTGGAGAGAGGATGGCAATCTCTGTTGTCCAGGTCCATTGCTGGGATGTCAGGGGAGAAGTCAGATGTGAACTGGGAGAGTGACTATTTGCTAGGAATCAAGAGGCAGCGGAGGCTTTACTGCAACGTGGGCATCGGGTTTCACCTTCAAATCCTCCCAGATGGAAGGATAAGCGGAGTTCACAATGAAAACCAATACAGTGAGTTGCATCCAGAAATGAAATAGAATAGATGTCACTTAATTGCTGTGAACTCTAATAATTACCCTTCGCAGAATGCAAATGTTATTACTTGGTATTATTAATCTGTTGCCTTTTGAAAGTCTCTGGGATCAATAAACATCAGGACCCTTTTGTTTGAAACATGGCACAAATGCTTAGCCAAATTTAGGTAGAATTTATTGTTACTCTGCTTTACTGCACGGATGAGAAAAAAGCCGAAACAGGTTGAAAACTGACTCTTCTGCTGCATTTTCTCACTCCTCATTTTCTCATTTGCCTTTTGAATCTGGGAGGTCGTCGCTTTGTTCCAAGAGCCAAAGCATGATTTTTGAATCCCAGCTGACTGTTTCTTTTGGGACACTCAGTGTGTCCCATGGAAGGGGCTTGCTGTTCCTGGTTTGCTCGTTCTTGTGGGTGCTGTTCTGTAGCTGTAAGAATAAAGAAAAGCATTAGTCATATGGATTTGAATTTCCTGCACAGGGCAGTTGCTAAAATCTTTTGCAGCTAAGATGTCATGTGGGACTTCAAAATAGTAAGCCACACTCCTCTAAAGCTAATAACAAACCCTCTGGAAGTATAGTATATTAGATAAAAATAATTTACTTATAAGAAAGCCCAAGAGTTTGACAGATCAAAAGAGTCAGATAGAGCAAAGGGATTACACAGTGTGTGACTATGATTTCAGAATAATTATTTTCCAAGCCTATGGCATGTGGGAAAATGCAAGATCTTCTCTGTGTACCTCTAGACTAGGGAGATAACTCTAATAGAGAAAATATGATGAGTTCCTCAGGGTTTTAAAATAAATAATGATATATGAATTGCCTTGGAGTAGCTCTAGATTCTGTGATAACACTTCTGCTTAATGTCTTATTCTTCAGGTCTCTTTGAGATATCCACTGTAGAGAGAGGTGTTGTCAGCCTGCTTGGGGTGAAAAGTGCTCTCTTCATCGCAATGAACAGCAAGGGGAGGTTGTATGGAACGGTGAGTGTCAGTGCAAATACTTTTTCAAGGTTTAAACAAAGACTGCAGAGGTTTTAGAATGGTTTTGTTTGGTTTGGTGTTTTGTTTGCTTTTGGTTTGGGTTGGGTTTTTTCTTCGTGGAAATCTGTGATTACAAGCAGAGAAAACAGCCTTGCAACTACAGGGAACGTGCCCAGCCTGGTGTCACCAGTGTTATTTAGTGCTGTTGGAGGTCTGGGGTTTTAAAGCTTCCCAATAGGACTGTACAGGGAGCACCCTGGGAAAATGAATGTATTCTACAAATAGGACAGATTAATTGAGTGGCTTCTTCTAAGGTCTCAGTGCTGCAAACACATTCTAGTAAAAGTGAGACCTGTTGATTCCCTTTTGCATTGCACTGTGTGTAGGAGAGGTACAGTTAGAGCTATTAGTAAAATAACGACCACATGCTTCCCCCTTCCAAAAACAACCCCAGCATGGAAAATAAATAGGAAGTCTACCCTACGAGGCCAACATATGCGGTTGGGGTTAATTTTAATGATCAGTTTTGTGAGATCAGTTGCAAATGATGAGAAAATAATGGCTATTAAGAATGGAATGAAAATCATACTGAAACACTGTCACCATTGTCCTCATCTGGATGATTTGTCATCTAAATGCAATTTAATTTCTGAGGTATGAGCAAGACATCTCCAGGACATTCAGCAGTAAAAGTGCTTGTTAGGAAGTGCATTTGGAAGAGCCCATTTCAAAGTAATGAACAGCACTGATCTCTTTTGTCAAGGAATAGCAGAGTCCTTTACTTTGAAACAGCTGTAATTTCAACAAAATATTCCAGTTGCTTAATAAAACAGCAAAAGTTGTGAAGGACCCGTAGCCCCATAGCCATTACTAACCTGACTGATTCCTTCACAGGTAGATAAGGGACATTTTGAGGTTCCACCCCAGGAATATTATTTCAGTCATGTCTGATCACCAGCCCTTAAAGAGTGCCACAAACCCAACTGTTTTGCTTGACTGGGTCTTCCTGAAGAAATGCAGGGTCTGGCTTCAGAGCTCCCTTTGATTGCCCCCTATCCCCCCCAGTTTCAATCCAGTTTTGTTTATCTTCAAAGACACTTTTAAAAGCTGTAAGAGATGTGTGTTTTCCCCCACACAACCAGATCTGAATGGTGTTATCACACAGGTGTCCAAATAGCACAGCATTGGTGGCATCTCATGTGTCAGATATTTGAAGTCAGAGAATTATTCTGTCTCTTTTAATTTCTTATGCATTTGTCTCCTTCTTGTCCTTGCATTCCACTCTCCCAGATGACTCCTTATCCCTGGATTTACATGATGTAATGTGGAGAAAAACAAAACTGTCTTCCCAGGTTAGAACCCACTGCATAGTTAAATATCACTAATGATTTATCAACAAAAAGATTCATTGTTAATCAAATCTCTTATCTGAGCAAGCAGTTCTCCCTGGACATTGGTGTTTGTAAGAGAACTGAAGTTTTGACATCTAGCGTGTAGTTTTTTTTACAGGACTTCTGGCAGAGGGGAGGTATTAAATTAAGCTATGAAAAGGCGTGATGCTGACAGAAATCTTTCCTTGCAAATAAAATGAAGAAATCCATCATTTAGAATTAATTAAGTTGATCTGCTGCAGGAAGTGCACAGTCCATTATGTGGACAGGTGGCATCTGAGTTCATCTGACACCAAATTAGCACCGAGGAGGGAGATTTATTGTTGGACACAGTCGCTGAGGCACCACCTGTTGCTCACTGCAGCGAGCCCTTCTGTAAAAATGTGAGCAAGAAAAATGACCTGTGAAGTATTTATTGTACCTGCTTTGTTCTCCACCCCCCCCCTCCCCTTACTGTGCTTCAGGCTGTCTTCCAAGATGAATGTAAATTCAAGGAAACCTTGCTGCCCAATAACTACAATGCATATGAATCAAATGCTTACCGTGGTACTTACATAGCCCTCAGCAAACATGGGAGAGTGAAGAGAGGAAACAAGGTTTCTCCTGCGATGACAGTGACCCACTTCTTACCCAGAATATGAACATGAGAAGACTGAATCCCAGGAAAAACTGTTTCATTTTGCACATGGGGAATAAGCTCCCAGGTAAAGTAGTATTTATACTGGTCACTGAAAAAAAAATCTATATATGTATGTGTATATATGGATAAAAATATTTGTACTAGATTCATCACATAACATATATAATATGATGCTGCTTCTCTTCTACTCTGTACAAATTTTACATGGCTGTGTGCCTCCTTTGGTGCTGTACAGAGAAAAAAAGCAAGCTGGAGTGCAAAGGATTTGGAAGAAAATTATTCAAAAGTATACAAAAGAAGTATTCGGACCGGCTGTGGGCAACAATCTAATCAATCACTAAATCACTATTATTTACTAAATAGTATTATTTACCTCAGACAATAACCTTTCCTAGCGAGCTGTTTACATATCATGGGCCAAATCACCAGACGATTTTGCTTCACCAGAGCTTCAGGCAGTTCACTCGACCTGAATATCTGCCTGCACCTCCCCTTCTACAGACTGTGTGTGTCCTGTCTTGCAAAGTCCTCAAGCTGTTTCGATCACTAAGGTGCCAATTCCACAACTGTTTCTACACAATCAAACTGTTTGTCCCCAGAGACCCTCTGTCTCGGAAGGGATTCTCCAGGGTCTCCTCACACGGACTGGTTGGCAAAATGAAGACCTGCAATCAACTTCCCACAGGAAGGGCCATGGGATAAATCACAGATGGGTCCCAAATGCAAAACTTATTTGGAGCTGAGGATTTTGAATGGCATTTTGTGAGCTTAGTTTAGACTTACCTCAAATATAGATGATGTGCACATCTTTAATATAAGTACTTGTATATATATAGACATGGGATGTGTGAGTGTGTAGCTATGTAATTACATGCTTTTAATGAATTAATCATCCCAGTCTCTCAAAGCCCAGGTGCCTTTATATGCATACACACCTAAAAGAACATAAATATTTAAAGGCGCTGTGTTTCATTTAGGCTGAACTTTGTTAATCTCTAAGAACTAGAAGTGATCTGCAGGATGCATTTTATACAATGTAAGAAATCCATGGAAGCTTCCAGCAAAGGG